TTCCCCTGCCAACCGCGGTGAGGAGCTCCCTCCCTTCCACGGGACGGCCTCCCTCCCTCAACCCCGCTCCCTGAACCTACAGGTAATCCAGGGACAGGCTGGCGCTCGTCTTGTTCATGGGGTGGTTGGTGACTGTGATGCCTGCAGGAAGGCCCAAGAAGAAATATGGGAGCGTGAAAGCCGGCTCAGGACGGAAAATCTTGCCCCCAGCCAGAAAATCTTCCCTCCCTGCAGCTCGGCAGGAGCTGAGCTGTCTGAAGCAACCAAGGACCTCGAGGCCAAGCCCTCCCTCACCAGCTGGCAGCGAGCATCCTCGGACAGGTCACAAGCCCAGGTGCCTTCAGGCACCGCTTTGGGACGTTCTGCCCCAGCCCAGACCTCAGAGAGCTCTGCCTAGCTCAGATCTCCTAGCCAAGGTGTGTGACCCCCCTGCCCCAACTGGGCACTAGCCTGCCTGACCCAAGGGGGGACACTGCACTTTAGAGCTTGGTTGGACCATGCCCTGAAGCTGTTCCTGATGCGCTTCTGCCCTTAAACGCCTCCAGGCCCTCACCGTAGGCAGCAGGGTTGCCTTTGCTCTTGGGCAAGTTGGCTCGCAGGATGGCATTGTTGAGAGCGTTGAGGTAGGTGGGCATGCTGTGGTAGCCCTTGTTGTTGTAGAAGACCTGGAGGAGCAGAGAAGAATGGTGGGAGGTGGCAAAAGAGCTTGGCCCACGGCAGATGTACTGGAAGGGAGGGATGGGATGGGATGGGATGGGATGGGATGGGATGGGATGGGATGGGATGGGATGGGATGGGATGGGATGGGATGGGATGGGATGGGATGGGATGGGATGGGATGGGATGGGATGGGATGGGATGGGATGGGATGGGATGGGATGGGATGGGATGGGATGGGATGGGATGGGATGGGATGGGATGGGATGGGATGGGATGGGATGGGATGGGATGGGATGGGATGGGATGGGATGGGATGGGATGGGATGGGGTGGGGTGGGGTGGGGGGGGACAGCCACAGGGCTTCCCATGCTCACAGCTGTGGGGGGAGCAGGCCACTGCTGACCATGCTGGGCCAGACCCGCTGGGGTGGGCGCTGCCAAGCACCCCAGGGGGTGAGAGCCCCACCAGGTTCCTCGGTGGAGAGCGCTGCTGCAGAGCTGTGGGTGAGGGGTCCCTGCCGTGCAGGCAGCGCTGCCTGCCCCCTTCTCCTCCCCACCCATCTCCCAGCTGCCTTGGGGCGCAGCGCGGTCCCACCTGGGCCGTTCTCCGGACGGCGATCTTGCGCACTGTGGCAGGAGCCCTGGCCCCGAAGGAGGCCGGGATGGATTTCTGGACGTTGCCGAAGGTGAGTGCCCCATACCTGTGGGACAAGGCACCACCAAGAAGCTGTGACCGCTGTCCTCTGCCTCCGGGAGCAGGGCCATGCTCGAGCGTGCTCCTGGCTCCCATCAGCACCCCGGGCTGGTGTCCCCGAGTCCCCAGTCCCCCACCCCTGCTCCAGGGCACAGGGCAGACCCTCCCAGCCTCCCCTCTTGCCTGTGCAGCCGGAAGCGGTCCGAGGTGTACAGCAGATACTCGGAGACGTTTCGCCCTGTGATGTCTGCCAGGATGTCCCCCGTCACCACCTTCATCTGCGGGGGGTGGCCCCCCACGCCGCTGGGGCAGGAGAAGCCGGTGCCCTGCATGGAGCACGTGCACTTGATGGGCTCATGGACGATGCGGGGCAGGGCAGGGGCTGAGGTCACGGTCTCTGAGGAGCAGAGAGGGCAGCTCACAGCCAGGGTCCTGCCCGCCCCGGCTGCCTGGGACAACGTGGGGGTGAGAGCCTGAGCCGAGGGGTCCTGGCCAGGCAGGGAGGGAGCGCTCTGCCCCGTGGCCAGAGCCCGGTCTGTGAGAGGGCTTTTGTGACCGAGGGACCAAGAGATAGATGTGGTGAAAAACTTTGGGGGGACAGAAACGGTTCAGAGAGGGGGCATGAAGCACGGCTGAAGGCAATGGCTGGGGACCGTGGACCAGCGAGGGTGACACAAAGCTGGGCACAGGGCTCTCGATAGGTGTCACCATCCCAGGGAGCTCCACTGGCACTGCTGGGGCTGAACGGGGAGCGGTGCTGCAGGGCGAGCACCGGTCCTGAGCCAGAAGTTCAGCCCAGCAGTGTGATGCTCTGCTGCAGCCAGGCCAAACTGCTAGGCACTTCCAGGGGGGCCTGGAGCTGCTTCTGCAGGCGAAACACATCATCTCCCTGCTGGAGGTGAATCGCAGGCCCGGACAGACTCAAGCACCAAGTGCAGGCGATACCTTTGACAGCGGAGGAGAAGATCGTGGAGTTCCAGGCACGGAGCAGATCCTCATCCACTGAGACAGGGTAGTCAGAGGGTGCCGGGGATGGAGGTGGCGGCACAAAGTTGGAGAGCGGCAGGCCCTGGGTGAAGGAGTCAATGCACATGGCGTCGAAGTACTTGGCTGCCAGCATCTTGGACTCGTTGCTGTTGAGGTTGAGGGTCTGCATGGGCTGGTCCAGTGTGTTGTTGAAGGCTGTCTTGAGCACGCAGGTGGCCCCCACGCCGGAGGGCAGGTGGAAGGTGTTCACCAGCTGCTGGGGGCTGGCATCGGGAGACAGCCTGATGCTGCGGGGAGAGGAGCGGGTAGGGAGGAACAAGGAGCAGGAGCCATGGGTCTCACCACCTTGGCCATTCTTCTGCTGGGACCTCCCTGAGGCCTTGGCATGTATCATGACTAAATGGGCACGGGCACCACGGTGGCACACACAGCCCAGGCCTGGCTTGAGCCAAGCTGCCGACTGCAGCCCGGACTGGCACCTCTCCCAGAGACACCCTGGGGAGGATGGAGGCTGCTTTCTGCAAGGGGACATGGCACCGGCCAGGCTCTGCTCCAACCCTGAGCCAGCCCCGCTGCGGGCTGCCCTCCCTGCTGCCCCCATCGCAGTCCCAGGGATGGAGACAGGGATGGGGACGGGGCATGGGACGCTGGTCACCGGCGAGCGGCGGCTCTCACCGGTACTCACGCCGCTCCTCGTTGGCGTAAGGAATGAAGTTGCCCTTGGGCTGGGTGTAGTTGTGGTACTGCGATGGTGAGAGGATGAGGGGCGGCAGGTCACCTGCGGGGACAAGGACAGGAACCCGCTCGCACCCGCAGCACCACCATGCACAGGCAGACTGGCACGGTGCCCACAAGCCTTGTCCTCACCCCCGCCCCAGCCAGTGTCCCCACCGGCCACACTGGGGCAGGCAGAAGGGGCCACCAGCAGCCCCCAGCGTGCAGGTGGGTGGCTTGCAGGCACCTATTTCGGGCACGGAGAGCGCCACCGTCATGGCCACGCAGACGAAGAAGGCAGGCAGGAGGATCTGCGAGAAGAGGGCCTTGGTGTTGCGCTTGGCGCAGTGGAAGCGTTTGACGATCAGCCCGTGGAACTGGCGCAGCTTCAGCCACGAGCCCTCCAGCTTGAAGCTCCCCTGCCCGTCCAGGTCACGGTCCTCAGCCTCCACCTCTGCCTCTTGCTCTGAGAGGGGAGAAGGATGTCAGCCCCCGGCATGGCCGCTCCCACACCCACCTTGGCCTCCAGGGAGCTGAGCCAGGCACTGAGCCAGGCGCAGCCACCCCAAGGGACAGGGCAGCACCCAACCCTGACGGCCACCGAGCCACAGCAGCACCGCGGTGTGAAGCGAGGCAGCTGGCTGGCGGGTTCCTCTTGGCCCAAAATGGGAAATTTAGACAATAGTTTTAAAAAAACAACCTAAACTGGTGCTTTTTGGCAGAACCCCTCCATTTTCCCATCAGCTCTCCCAGCTGGCGAGGGGGCAGCGCAGTCAGGAACAGGGGACGGGACACGGGTGGGGGGACCCAGCGCGGCAGCAGACGCAGGGCTGGGGCTCAGGGAGCTCTGCCGCAGCACTGTCCCGGCAATGCCTCCCGCAACCCAAATGACAGCGCTCAGAGCAGCCCCGGCTGGGCAGGCAGGGTGGAGCATCCCTGAATTAATCACAAGAGCTGCTGAGATAACCCAGAAAAGGATTTGTGAATAAAGCAGCAGCCTGAGGGCGCCTGCCTGCGTCCTCCATCCTCCAGCAATCCCAGCATCCAGGCAGGGAGAGCCCCGAGCCCGGGTCAGGGTATGGAGGGCGAAGCCACCAGCTGGAAGATGACTCCATGCCCAATGGCCAAGAGGAGACAACCCGACCCGGCGCCAGCACGAGGAGCAAGAGCGTTAGTGGGGCGAGTCTGCAGGATGGCGCTCGCGGGATCTGAGGGAGGCAAAGGGCAGAGCCAACGCCGGCTGCGCCTGCGCCTGCCGGCTCTGTCTCAGCATGGGACTCCCCCACGCACATGCTACCAGTTTGGGGGGGCAAACTGGTGGAAGCACCTGTTCCCAGCCCTCCCACCCAGGCTGCGGTTCTCTGGGCACAGCGTCGGCGGATGCAGCATCAGACCCCCGGCGGGGTCTTGCCCCAGCAGGCACGGCCCCCCATCCCCAGCACACCCACCCGCCCCAGCCAGGGCCAGCTCTGCCCTGCCCAGGTGCAGGGACCGGCACTGCCGCTGCCCCAGCCACCCTCCACGTCCCAGCTGAGCACCTCCCCCGGCCCCTGCCGCTGGCCAGGCACCGGCGGCACGAACCTTGCAGACTGATGTTATCGGGGTCCTGCCGGTTATCGAACAGGGGCGCGTAATCCCCAAAGAATTCGGAATAAGCCCCACCTTCATCGCCCCGCACGGAGCCCACTGAGGAGGCCGAGCGCAGGGATGCCTGCGACTGCGCCAGCTTGGAGCAGGTCACCAGGTTGCTGAGCTCCACCTCGGGCTTCTCCGGCACGGCCGCTTCAGCCAGGGGCTCCCCGTTGGCCTCAGGCTTCGGGCCCAGCTCAGGGGCAGGGGGCCGCAGGGCGTCCTTCTTGGACTCCTTCATGTCTGGAAGGAGAAGGGGGTTTGCCACCAGCCATGCCACGCTTCAGCACGGCATAGCACGGAGCAGGGACGGATCTGCTCTGCAAACCCGGAGTGGAGAGGGCCGGCTGCCCTTGGCTGGGATGGGCTCCGCTGGAGACCACTCCTCCCCTTGGGAAAGGAGACTCCTGCGGCCACGCGCAATGGAAGAGGAGCCACCAAGCCCCCGCAAAGGCACGCAGCCCCTGGCCAGCCCCAGCAGCACCGTATGCCCCGCCGCCGCCCGTACCCACGTCGCTGTTCTCCAGAGACTGGTCCTCTTCGGACACCTTCAGGAAGACCTCCTCCAGCGTGGTGTCCATCAGCCCAAAACTGGTGAGGTCCAGCTCTTCCAGGCTCTGCTCCAAGTGCTGTGGAGGCAAAGCGCTGCGTGAGGAGGGCAGGAGGTGCCCACAGCACCACGGCCCCCCGCGATCGCCTGCCTGCCCACCCCGCCAGCCCCCGTGGTTACCTGGAAAAGCCTCTCGAAGCAGCCCTTCTTGACGGCCTCGCTGGGCAGGATGTAGGAGAGCTCAGTGTTGGTGTCAGAGATGAGGAGGCAGGAGGCCACATATTTCTTGATGAACTGGGAGACGCGAGGCTCGGAGCAGGGGCTGACGGAGGAGTGGGCCGGGGGGCTGTGCGGCTGGCCTGGCTCTGGGGCAGAGGGGCAGCACCAGTCGGTCACATCTCACCTGGTCTCCCACCAGGACGCACCACGTCCACCCTACACCCCAGTGCTGCGGGCCTCCTCCAGCCTCCATCGTGGGGTGCTGGAGGCTCCCCGGCCACCCTGCCTGGCCTGGGGACGGTGCTCTGCACCACGGCCCATGCTGGACGTCTTGGTGGGCAGCCCACGGGTCGGACAGAACCAGTGCCTGGAGACAAATGCCACCACACAGGGCCTAACCCAGGACCCAGCTGGGAGAATCAAGCCTGAGCAATGCCACCTCCTACACCCCTGCCCCCTCCGCCCTCCACGTGGCCTAAGGAGACTCGGGGTGGGAGCACTTGGGTGTTGACCTCTTGTTCCTTTCCTGGGCTGAAGAAGGGCTGGTCCCATCTACTCCTCTAAGCACAGGGTCCCGCTCGCCCCCAGACCTGTGCCGTTCCTGGTGTCCGACTGCTTCTTCACCACCGTCAGCTTGTAGCCGTCGCCATAGGTGCTCTTGAGGAAGAGTGGAGAGCCGCAGCACTTGAGCTTGCCGTGGGAGATGATGGCGATGCGGTCACCCAGTAGGTCGGCTTCATCCATGTGGTGCGTGGAGAGCAGGATGGTCCTCCCTGGCGATGGCACAGAGCCTTATCAGAGAGGCCAGGGCCATCACAGCCAGAGGAGCAACGCTGGGCTCTGCCCACCTCCGCTCACCTGGCTTGTACTTGAGGATCAGGTCCCAGATGGCCCTGCGTGCGTACGGGTCCACACCAGCCGTGGGCTCATCCAAGATCACGGCCCGTGACCCGCCCACGAATGCGATGGCCACTGACAGCTTCCTCTTCATGCCCCCCGAGAGGGTCTGCACCAGGGAGTGGCGTTTGTTGGAGAGCTCCAGGTCCTCAATCATCCTGGGGACAGGGGAGAAGGACCAGGGATGCCGGGGGGCCGTTCTGGCACCCGGTGCCTGTGGGGAGCACGTGATGCCTCTTCCCTGCATGGCACCTGCGGCTCTCAGCCTCTGGGACAGCCCAGCTGCAGCCAGGCTACAGAAGCATCTTCTGATGGCTTCCACAGCCTGAGACCCCAAGTTTTGGAAACCACTTGGTGGAGCTGCTCTGGGGACATCTCTGCTCCCGGATCACCCACCACAGCACAGCCAGCAGGAAGGGGACCCACTCACACAAAAGGCACGGATGGGGCAAAGGGAGCTGGGGGATGCCTACTTGTCCATCTCCTTGCGGATCTCCTCCTCCGCCATGCTTTTGAGCTGCGAGTAGAACCAGAGGTGCTCCTCCACCGTCAGCCTGTCGAAGAGCACGTTGTGCTGCGGACACATGCCCAGGTTTTTCCGGATCTCGTCCATTTCCGTACGGATATCGTGGCCATAGATGGTAGCGGAGCCCGAGGTCGGAGGGAACAAGCCGGTGAGGATGGACCTGGATGGATGAAGAAAAGCAACAATGTGAGGGACCTCACATACCTCTGTCTGGTCCCAATCCCAACCACCACCTCCAGAGGCATCTGCTGGACTCTGGGCAGAGCAATGCCAGTGCCGGGCCGTGCACCCACTGCCTGTCCCCCTTTCGTGCCACTGCCACATCCACACTGCTGCCCTCTGGGCATGGCACCAGCTGCCACAGGGCCCCGCGAGTACATCATGGCCCACGTCCGCCCCGACGGGCACTCACATGGTGGTGGTTTTGCCCGCGCCGTTGTGCCCCAGGAAGGACACCACCTGGTTTTCGTAGAGGTTGAGGCTCAGTTTGTTCAGTGCCAGCTTCTTGTCCGTCTTGTAGACCTTGGTGAGCTTGTCAATGCAGACCACCAAGGGGAGGTGGGTCGGCTCCTCCTCGATGCCCCGTGTCTCCTCTGCTGTGAGAGCGGGATGGTGAGGAGCCAGGGGGTAGTAGGGAGGCCGGGCTTGGAGCAGGGCTCCCTGGGGGATGAACCTCCCCGCCTCGGCTGTGCTGGCTTGTGGCCCCTTCCCATCTGCTTCTCACCAGCTTCCCCCCTCCCACACCACGGGCAGCAGCTCCCAGACAGGCAGCAGCGCCTGGCCCAGGATCCTGCCCCGACAAGGGCACAGGGGACGCACAGGGGTCCCTGGCCACAGCAGGACCCTGCAGCAGAGCCAGCGCCACCCTGGGCCACCTCCCGCCGCCTCTGTCTGCCCTCACCCAGCCTCCGGCTCTCCATGGCACAGGCCTGGTCCTCCTCCATGATGCTGAGGCGGGTGGTGCGGGACCAGGGCCAGGTCCACTCCCAGGTCTCCACTCGCCCGTTGCCCAGCCAGTAAGACTTCTGGAAGGGGAAGTACCAGGGCCGCGGCAAGCCGAACATCCCTGCAAGCACAACCCCTATGGAGTCAGGGCCAAGCCGGCACCCGTGTCCGTGCAGAAGCCTGCTGAGGGCCGGGGCAGAGGTACGGACATGAGCTTGGAGGCTTCCCCAGCTTAGGGACATCACTGCCGGGTGGGGGCTGCAAGCGCCCTGGCCAACTGGGCTGAGGGCAACGCTGCTGGGCTGTGCAAGGAAGCAAAGTCCTTTGGGCTGGGCCTGGCTCACGCTTCGGTTTTACTAGGAAAGCAAAGGAAGCAGGTGAGACTCCTCCCCAGGTGGGCGATAAGGGGGAACAGTGCTCCAGCCATGGACACCCTGCTTTGCTACAGCTGGCCAGCGAACTGAGACACGCGACTGAAGATCTCCAAGGCAACTGCTGGTGTCACCAGTGGGTCAGGGCATGTGGGCAGGTGTCCCCAACAGGACACACACAGGGGACCCTGAACGCACGTTGTGCCAAATCCCACCATGTCAGGGCTGAGCACCGCCAGGAACCAGCAGCATCCCCAGCGAGGAGGCTCCCGTAAGATCAGAGGTGCCCTCATGCCCCACCTCGCACATGTACCTGGGTGCACGGCCTCAATGTACCACGTGAGCACCCCGTACACCACGGCATCCACGATCAGCATCATCATGGACAGCAGGAGGTTGAAGTCGTCTCCTTCCACAGGCGACTGGCTGAAGGTGTGCCACTGGATGCCCACACCGGCCACCTCGTACAGCGCAAAGTACTTGGAGCCCAGCCCAAAGGCCGTGGTGGACATGAGGGACTGCGGAGAGGTGGAGGGAAGGGAAGGGGACGTCAGCAGGCACCACAGGCCAGCTCCA